AGGCTTTTACCTGCGAATATAACTTTCAAGTATCAGTGATTATTAACGATATATAAGGTATTATATTTAAAAAAAAATACAAATAAATAAAACAAATAAACAATAGGCCCTATGTTGCTTTTTTGTGTTTTTAAATGTATTTACTTCTTAAAAATCATGAATGTCTAAATAAAGAACAAATCCGCTTAAAAGAGGTAATTTTTTACTCTTTGTTTAAGAAGCCCTCGAGACACAGCACTTTTTGAGCTAAAATCGCTCTTTCAAAAGAGCTATTTATTTCGCTCTTTCACATTTAGAGAGTAGCATTTAATTTTATTTATTCAACCGAAAACAATTACAATATAAAAGGGAAAAAACAGTAAAAAAGAACAAAAATTATACAATAAATGTCTCTGATTCCCCACAAGGGCCGGCGGGATAACCAAAAAGTAAAATAAATTACTATCAAAGTGGGTCTCCATCCGATGTAGGAAATCAGAGAACAGCAAAACACACAGATAATGTAATATAAATGTAACTATAAATTACAATATAGAAAATAATGAGCATTTCGATTACAATCATTCAATCATTAGCAATCTTTATTCAGGTCCCGAAACCGCGACTCCAAAAACAGTTGTGTATATTAACTCCGTCATCTGGTACGATATTTGACCGCACATTTGATAAAGCAAATTATAACTGCTAGGAAATAATTCAGTAAAGACCTACCACAAAATAATCCTTTTTATAATGATTGTAAAAGATAATGTAATATACCGCACCTTGTGCAATTCAAACGTATAATTTATTTTATTTGATATAATACATATATTATAGCCGGCAACTCGTGTATATAAACATAATACATTGTTTTTAATAATTATTGCATAAATCTTCTGGGCCTACTTGTGTATTTATTTAACGAAGAAGCATCTCGTTATTATTGTTATTATCTAATTACACGCCATAACAATCTGTCACACTCACAATGATCAGTTTACATTCCATTTATCCGTGATGGAAGTCTCTGGAGAGCCGTTAAAACTACAATAAAGAAACCTTCAATAATCTATTTTTCTGCGTGATTTGTCAAACCATCAGAGCTTTATTATGTGGGTAGAAATATCTTCTCTGTAAATGTAATGTTTTTTGCGATAATACTGGCAAGAATACGATGCCCTGTAAGGACATAGTGTATAAAAAGAAGGTTTTCTATCCGGACCCTCTCCCACCACGGGCCAATGTGAGGTGAGGGGTGGGATTAGGGATCGTCGCATCTGGCCCGTCCAATGAAAATTGCTTCCGACGCCCCTGAGTGTTGGATCAGTTTGAGAGTGATAGAGGTCACATGCGATCGAGGAGCTTATAGTAAAGAGTATATAACAGAAGAGAGTCCACTGCTATTCTTAATGCACGCGAGTCAGTGTGACGCCCGATCCGCTGTATGTGGAAAACGCCCCTAGCGTCTGTTGTGGATGCAGTATATACAAATTTAAGACCTGTATTTGGAAAAGAATTCATAAAGTCAAATTATTATATCCGTTTTTTAAATATATATAAAGGCAAGACTTAATAAGAATAAGATTATTGGAAAATATGCTATGTATTATGGGTTTTTAGAAAGTTTACTTTAAATCATGATAGTATTTCGAATGTTGATAAAAAAAAACAAAAACCTTGGAGTTTTATAAGAAAAATAATATTTAATAGGCCTCCCTATACTAGAAGACGACTATTCATTATAAACATTCATCCATTCATGCATTTTTATTCGATATATGTAATTCTTAATAAATGAGAACATATAGTTAATTATGTGTTTGCTTTGACTATGACTATGTTCTCCAGCCCTTCCTCAGTCTGATATATAAATATAACGTTTTCTCTTCAGTCAAACAAATTAATGTATAAAACAGTAGTAAAAAAATAGTCGGAAACATCAAAGTAACTTTTAAAATATTGTACTTTATTTAGTATTTTTCAACTCAAACTTCAAATACTTTCACAAGCAAATGAGCGTTAGGTAATGATGAGGAAAACATCCACCTTGATATACCTTAAAATCCCGGATTTACTTGATAAATGAGAACAAAAAATCATCCATCCAACAGTTAGTGACCCATGCACTGTCTGTGATGAGGTATTAGCACCCACATAATAATCAGGGTCGGATCCAGGATTTGAAAGGGGGTGGTTCAAAATGAAAAATTTTCATTCATTGGCCGGAAATGAGCTTTCCCGACTTCTGAAGAGTTTTTTAATTACCTTTAAGTTCTTTAAAATACAAGGTTTTTCTCCTCTTGAAAAGATCAGCAATATTATCTCATTCTTCAGGCCTCGATATAAAGAAAAAAAATAAAAGGCAAGTGAGTGGATTTCCCTCACGATTAAAAATCGTAACGGTACTGGGTTTAGTCTACAGGAGTTCGTGCTTACAACTAGTGGCGGCTCTATGATATATTTTCTGGGGGGGGGCTAAGTGGTCCGACAGGGGGACTTGAGCTCGTAGGCGTGAGCTGGGAGAAGGGGTTGAGAGGTAAGCCCCCCCGCTACCCCGCTGGCAACAGGTCATTCCATTAATAGAAAAAGCCTTTTGATGAATAAAGTGTAACTTTTTAGCAAGGGTTACCTAGTTCGAAACTAACTCCGGCTATATAAAATTGATTAGAGGATTGAAAAAGTTATTCTTGTTAATGAATAGATGGATTACTACTATGTCCATTTTTATTGATCTAATCTACGTAAATTTACTTTCAGAGCTCATTGTATTGTTGGCCGGCGCTGTGTTAGATCAGCAGCTACAACGTCTCCACTGTCTCTTCTCTTATGTCTTCCTACGAGTATTGGCTTGCTTTTCCATTCCTGACATTCAGTATTGCTTTCTTTTGTAATGCTGCAGTGCTTGTTTTTTTTTTCTATATTTGCACTTTTTATTAATTTTTTTTTTGTTGGTCTATTTGCCTTGTGATTGATCTAGGCCCAATGGCGGACCGTCAAGGCAAGCAAGGTATGCAGTGCATACCCTGGCTAAAACAAATTAAAACAAATATAGTAGTACATTTTCCCCGTTTTATTTAGCATTTCTTTAGAGTCAGGATATACTATATACACCTTAATTTTTAGAGTGGAATGCTACAGTTCATTGGAATAGCAAAGTTTTTCAATGTTTGGCCTACTTTGGTACCCAGAGGTGACGGAACTAGGGGGTGCTGTGTTATGGAGAGTAATGTGTGACCGGAAATGTTCTGCAGTCAGTTGGTTGTTACTATGCGCCAGTGATGTTGGAGTATATAGTACAGCAATATGAAACTATTATGTAGGCCTAATAAATGAATAAATTTCGGAGTTTGTCGGGTAGTGAAATGATTATTTCACATTTTAAGTGCTCCCTAAATTCATAAGTGTAAGCTAAATTACGGTGATTAATTTAATTAGCGAAGATATGGAGACAATTATTTTGAATCCCTCTTTCCAAGAGGGGATGCAAATGATGCTTTGTGAAAATGAGTACGCCGCGGTACTCATTTTCACAAAGAAATACACACAACTGGTTAGCTAACAATTATGTCAATGTTACAATGGGAAGGAAGATGCAATCACGTTGTTACCTAGCAAACGTCTGTACTGTATGGGGGAGGGGCTCCTGATGTACTGTGTAGCGGGGGACGATGAGGCATAAGACTAGGCCTAGGCCTAACTAAGACAGTGGAATTATATGTGATAGAAAGTACACTTTCGGAAGAAATAAATTTAAAATAAAGAAAAAAATAATAACTAAGAATAATTCATTTGCAGAGGTACCTTATTTAGGTATTATACAATGCATCTAACAATGCGGCTCTTGTAGCCCTGGCTTGGGCAAGGCATCCATGTGCAAAGCAGTGGTGTTTGTTTATCCATGAAAAAAGCACGCCGGGAAAGTTTGCCTTACTAGGAAAAGGTGACGTACCTCTACCTTATGACGTATGCATGCTAACTAACGTGAGTGTGACGTCACCAAAAAATGAATATTTTCTATCATAACCAAAATATTAATAACTACAAAGTTTCTGGGCGTAAATTCCCTTAATATGAATTAAGGGTTGCTCAATCTCCTTGCCATACAAATTACAGCTCCTACTGACGTCTCAGTCGAGAAATACGGGTAGCTGAAGTTTTTCTCGCAAATCTGACTACAAAACCATATCCAAATTCATGTTCCACTTTTGCGCCTGAGTTGTGCTTCGCACTCGCCGCTAAGGGCGGCGTTCCGGGAACCCTGCGTCTAGTATTGTCACAGTCGGGCCTATCGCATCGTACTCTAGCTACTAAGAATTTCCGCATGGCTGGTCTTATCAGCCAATCACGTATTCAGTGAGTCAATTTCAGAGCATACCCTACAACGCTTAAATATGCTATTGTGACAACCGTGTGGTGGCGTCAGAATAGAAAATTTAACACTGGAATGGAAGCAGTGCTTCCAAGAGTATGTGCACAAATCGGGACCTTCACTGCCAATCGTGTATTCTATCTATAAGCCTAATCTGAATGATTAAAGTTTAAATATATTTATATACATATGATCGGTGTAGAAGAAACTCTGAATTATTATTATTTGAATTGAAATTTGTTAAAATACAGGAATAAGAATTCTTTTGAAGAGAAGACAAACATGCCGGTATTAAAAATAACATACATTGCATGATTTGTGGGCGGGGGACGCGACTGGGGAATGGGCGAGTATTTTTTTTTTCAGGCGTTAAGGGACTCGACGTGCGCGCACATTGCACATCCTAGATATGCCAATACCTAGCATACCCTGTAATTTACCCTACGGTCAGCCACTGTCTAGGCCCAGCCTGATTATCAGTCTGTGAGTTACCAAGTACCTTTGGTTACCTTTGGCTCTCTACTAATGTTGTATTGTTGCTTTTTTGGTTGGCCTAGCTATCTTGCTGGTCAAGCCTTTTGATATGCAAATTGATCATTGTTCTATTTTGATTGTGTGTGTACTTTATTGATAGCTGTGTACCTGTTGCTACTGTTTTACCATGGTTCTACAATACAACTTCTCTCAGCTTTTTTCACTGAGAAAACTTGCTTGTAAAGTTATACCTGGTTTTTCAGTTCAAAAGCTAATGGACTACTTCGGATGCCAGGCAAACGTGCTGGTGCTCGTTCACACAGGTCGTTTGCTCGGCAACAGGTAGGTGATAACCTTTTTAATATTGGTTCATGTGGTAACAATCATCTTCGGCCCAGCTCTATTCTCAACCATTCAAGTGTTGAGAAACTAACTGCCAGGCATTGGAATACTCACTCTCTTTGCAATAAAACATGGTATGTATGTGACTACATTATCGAAAATTCCATTGATCTTATGTTCCTTACTAAACTGCTAAAACTTGGCTTGCCAAGGATGACATGACTAAAATCGGTGAGCTGACTCCCCCTGGCTACACCTTCATTAATATTCCCCGCTATTCACACACACATTTTCATCATGGCGGTATTGGTATTCTTTTCAGAAATACCCTTAATTTCCAACCTGTTGATCTTTTACATTACACACATAATTTCATTTGAGTATGCAGCCATTTCGAACGTTTCTAGGTCATTTTTCTTCCTTGTTATTTACAGGCCTCCTCCATCTGCGAGGAATGGATTACTCACCTCTGTGTTTCTCAGAGAATTTGATGAGTTTATTGACACTGTCCATTTGCTGCTCGGGGAACTTCTTATTATGGGGGATTTGAATGTTCACTTTGATCTTCCTTCTAAACCTGATGTTGCTCATGTACTTGCATCTGTCTCCTCTGCTGATCTTGTCCAGGTTGTGACCAAACCCACATATGTACATATGGACACATACTTGATCCACTTATTACCAGTGTGGATACCTGTATTATCGATCATAGTATACATTGTAACCACCATTCAGACCATGCTGTTGTCTGTGCTAACATTGCTCTCGGAAGCCCTAAATGTGTTCCAAGGACTGTTGAGGATAGACCTTATGGTAACATTGACCATGGTGAGCTTGGTTCTGATCTTACCCCTGAGTTGGCTGCTGTATTAATCACAGGCAAGTCATCTAATGACATTATGGCTGATTTTGATAAGTCTGTAACAACTGGTATTAATAGAGTCATCCCAATTAAGAAACGTGTTGTCAAGGCCGACCTCAGGCCTAAATGGTACAACAAGGATATCCAGGCTGCTAGGCGTGATCGTACTCAAAGATTCGAGCGGAGGCTCGATAAGAATAAGTCTGATGACAATTGGAGTTTATTCCTTATTGCTAAACGCAAAGAAGATCATGTATTTCTGCAGCTAAAGCTAAATACTTTCGGGGTATATTGAAAAACTACTCCAGTATAACTGCTTTCTCGGCCTTTTTTAAACACCTTACTTAGCAGCAACCACAATTACTATCCTGATCATAATTGTCCGAAGATTCTGGCAAACAAGTTTGCTGACTTTCAGCCAGAAGATTGCTGATATTCGCAACGACCTTAAGACAATTGGGTCACCCACCTGTGTGGAACATTGTTCTCCTTCCTCTACTAAACCTAAATCTTGTTGGTGTGTAAAGTAAGGAGAGTAGGCGTGCACCGCGTACGCGCCCTATATATCCCCCTATGGATCTTAGCCACGGGGGAGGTCTTTGTTGTGTGGAGCGGCTCTGACACGTAGGGGTCGTTCAGTATCTCCTATACGAAGCATAACAGTTCCGGCATTAAGAGCTACATACCGTGTTGCACTTCTTGTCCATCTTGTCCTTCGGGTGACACTAGGAGCTGCGAAGGATGTTCTTAGGTTTGATGTATACTTGAATACCCAGGGAGCTCAAAACACGACGGAGTCCTTCCAAAATTCCCCTTACCAACGTGACCACTCACAATTTTTGATAAACCCAATGAGTGGGTCGAAATTACCCAAGATTCAACAAAAATTGCCTAAAATTACCCAAGCTTCCAGAAAATGCATTAAAATTTAAAAAAAACGTGTTTTTCGCATGTATAGTTTCCCTTTTAGTTCGTTCTATAAATAATTTTTTATTGTAATTGTTTGTGTTAATTATTAAAATTAATATTCATGAGGTGATAATACGGATAGAAAAATACACCCTCAGTCGGTCAGTAGTGTTATCAGGAATACCAAGTTATATTATGTAACGCATTAATTTGGTAAGATCAATGGCAACGCAAATCCACAAATAAACAATTCTGAACCCATGTTTATAGCAATTAAAAGTCAATTAACAATTTTATGTGCACTTCATTGAATTTTGATTACTTAAATGGACTGAATACACTTTGTTACTTCTTAATTCTTCCTCTATGACAACGATATTTAATTTTCTTAAGCAAAAAGAAAATACCCAAGGATTTGTACGGAATACCCAAGAACCCAAGACCAAGTCAAAATACCCAAGACCTTGGGTAAATACCCAAGCAGGGGTCACGTTGCCCCTTACACAAGGCAGAACAATAGAGCCATTATTGATAAATGTAAATGTAGCAGTTGGATTTTGTCGATGGGGAGGAGGGATGACAGGGATTGGTTTCGTGCATTGGTGACAGCAATTATATCACATTTTATTACGTGTGGGTAGTTTACATTAGGCCTACTCTGATTGTGGCAATATAATAAAAAAAAAAAAAACTCGATAAGACTAAAAAAAAATCCTGTTGGCCACGGGTTTTTTTTTTTTTTTTTTTGGTAAATAAAAAAGAATAGGTTAATTGTTTAGTAGGATTTTTTTTATTGTGCTTTAGAAACAAAATGTCTTTACGCCTAAAAAGAAAAAAAAATATTAAAATTAAATACAACCATTTTGGATTCGCATTCTGTACCATCCTGCAAAAAAATATAAACTATAATGCCGACTATTAACTTCTTAAAATTGTGGTCAGTCAGGCGTGGCCAACACAATATATTTTTTTGGCTAATATATGAAATGAATTCCCCCAGTTATTCAAAGTTGTTGTTTATTTACAAATTCTTTATTGATAATTGTCAACATAATACAGAAAAAAAGAATAACAATGGTAGGCTTATCCGGAACCGAAATTACAAAACAATATTATGTGGAATTGAAAGAGATCTCAACATTTAAAATAAAACTGTTAAAATAGTATAGTCTCTTTTGTTAATTAAGGTATATTATTCGTGGTGTCTTTTCTATTTTTAGGTGATCCATGTTTCTCAAAGTGTGAAGGTTGGTTGGAACAATTATTTAATACCCGTATTTCACTTTATGTTGCTGAAACGGTTTTCGACACGTTAATAAATGTATTATTTTATAAGTGAAATTAGTTAGTAATTTAAATTAATGCTCACTTCATTTGTAATTTTTTTTCCAGATTCAAAGTGCTTCAACTTGTGTACAGGTTGGTTGCAATATCTCTGTAGCAAACATTATGGTTTTGCCTATAAATATTACATTTTAATATAGTTTATTGTTTGTTAAATAGTCATGTGCTTATTGCAAGATCAGATATAGTAATAAATCAAACCGGACAAGCAGTCCCGCTTATAGAGGTCTAGAACTAGGTACGCGTATGTAAAACTACAATAGTGTTTTCAATATCCTTCAAAACTCAAAGAAACAAATCATAATTTAATATAGCAATGTATATGCAGAAGCGAAGCACTAGCAAATTTATGAGGTGCTAGTGAGGGTGGGGGGGTGGAGGAGGTAACCATTCTTAGCATCACTAGAGCTACGTCATCTAGCTAAGTGATGTGATCCATTTAAATGGATATGAAAGAAGCAACTTGACTTTCTAAATTAAATCTAAAATATCGTAGACTTTAAAAACAAACATAAAAATAAAAACAGATTCGCAATCATATGCATAAAAATGAAATACATTATAAATTTGGCTCACTTTACGGATTTAAACCAGGCTGTTTCGGCGAGTACACTATAGTAGTAGTACTCAACTGAAGTATTTAACTTAAGTCTAACCCAGTAATGGCAGACGTTTTAGTGCTTTGTGGGCGAGGTACTAGAATTACAAACTAATAGGCCTACCGTGGATCGCTTTCCTTTGAATTAACCTACAACATAATACAATAATACATGACATAACAAAGAATCTACAATTCCATAATGTTATGAAGCTATAAAGTTACATTTTACATTACTCACAAGCAAAGGTAAGTACAGTAACAATCAATATACTTGCACATTTAATTATTAAGAACCAAAAACAAATACATGAAAACTCACGGTCACGATCTTATGCCCACTTCGTGTTGGTTTTGGGTCTGTCCTGTAACATCGTCACACCAGTACGTGAAACCGAGCCACAGTACCCGATATACCAAACAACGCACGGAAATATACGGCACAGCATACAAGACACAAGGCATTACCCAGCCAATCCCGCACGCAGCCGTTCCACTCAACAAAACAAGGGGGGGGGGGGAAAAACACTTTCACCCCAACGCTTCACTCAAATACGTTGTGCACCTGAGCCATGCTTTATTATTTAAATAACCACACATGATGCAAATATACGCTGAAAGTCATGTTTATTCAAATACAAAAAAGAGAAAAAAACACGAACTTGTTACAACGTATGTTAGCCAAACACACCCCCACCCCACCACATAACACGCCCACATCCCCCCACCCCACACACCCACACACAATCTCCTCGTTTTTATAATAAATGTTTTGGAAATTAAATTGCCTTCTCACGTGACGTAGCGTTGTACGCCGCAGCCCTATGAGACTTCTGTCGCGATAGGTCTGCGTTGGAGACGCTTTGTAGAGTATTATTCTCACGACGATCTAAAGACCGTCCCATACGCTAGATGTCGTCGGCTTGCGTCGTACGACGTTGTCTGATGTGTACGGAGCCAATAAAGGGATATGGTTAAAGAAAATATTAAACTATTTCGAGGGAACGAAATAATATTTCGAGGGAACGAAATAGTATTTCGAGGGAACGACATAGTATTTCGAGGGAGTATATATATAGTATATATATAGTATATAGTATATAGTATATATATACTGTATATATACTGTATATATATATACTATATATATACAATATATATATATAC